GAGAGAGAGAGAGAGAGAGAGAGAGAGAGAGAGAGAGAGAGAGAGAGAGAGAGAGAGAGAGAGAGAGAAAGAGAGAGAGAGAGGGAGGGAAGGAGAAACCTTTGGCAAGCCAACTGCCAGACAGGTAGATAACGATAGAATCTGTTAGCTTGACAGCGGAAGGAGAAAACGTACATAAAGGATTAAAAAAAAAGAAGGAGAGGGAAGGAAATACCTGTTGGGTAACTACGGCTTATACTGAGACATGTGGTCTTTTGCTAGCGTGGTCACTGATCGAGGGAGTCTAGGGCCAGCATCCCGTGCTAGTGGCTAGTGTTCGAATACAACGGGTGTGCCGGCCATTTTCATTGGCGGATTCATAGGTACTTGTCGTCAGTCAGCGCATAATGCCCACATTAAGACACTACTTTCCAGTATGTATGTGGCCACAGCTGCTGCCAGATTCAAAACATGTATCTACTATCTAGTGTTTTTTTTTTTTTTTCTTTTTTTTTTCACGCTAGTCATTCAGCCAGCAGCTGGGCTGTTAGCGGTGGATGCTCATAGCATCACCACTAACAGTCTCAGCCGGTTTCCCAAAAAAAAAAAAAAAAAAAAAAAAACACTACGCTTAGTACGCTACATACATCCCGCCCAGTGGACGCCTATGCTGGTGAGTCGTATGTCCGAAGTTTCAAACCATGTTGCTGGCAATATCATGGCCATTGGCCAGCAGGCTTGTTCCCCTTCGTCGCATTTTAATTACCCATCTGCAGCCATATACAGTATTAGGGCCTACTGGTTGCACTAGATTACTAGTGCCATCCGCCATCATTTTGTATGCAGCTGGACATTGTCAAGCACCACTAGATCGCCGTCCGGCAACATTTTGAATGCACCCGATCAACCGCGTTGTCCAGATGCATTCCAAATGTTGGCGGATGGCGAGTAGTGCAACCAGGACCATAGGATCGAGGCCTAAAACGCCAAAAAAAAAAGACGATCGAGACAATCCATGTGGCTGTATCTCTGGCCTTTGTACGTTTTTTTCCTTTGGTGGGGGATCCCCCTGCCTCAACTTATGATCGGAACTTCGGAAGTATACCTTTTTCGGCTTTTTT